CCTGTTTCGCGCTCTTTTGTTTGGTCCAATCAGCGTTGCGAAATTTGCTTTTTGGGGAGAGATGTGAGATTTTGATTTTGTCTTTGTATTAATATTGTTTGGCATGTCTTCCGTCCCTAAACTCGGGCAAGTAAAGTGGATCGGAGGGAGTACTACGTGTTGGATTAAAATATTGATTGTCTTGAAAATATTAATCACTGACCAATCACGCGCCTTGGTTTAGATTACCATTTTTTATTGGTCAACGTAGTTGTTACATCATCATGACATTATTCGATAGGCTAGAGTCGATTTATACTGCACATAGCACAGTGCGCGAAACTATTATATGACAATAATCTTCTGTAATAAATCGAGATCTATTTCACAAATGAATGCACGATGACTGTAGTTTCCAATGAAGGGTATACGTCCAAGGGCAAAAAGTCTTAGAATACAGCCAGTGTTCTTGAATTTGCCAACATGTACGAAGATAAGAAGAACATTCTACTTGGTAGACAGAACTGGTTGTCTTGTTGACTGCTGTTGGCAAACGCAGCGTCGAATTCAGTTTAACACATGACGCACATATTGCAATATAAATTGAGCGGATCGCCCACGCCAGATAAGTTGTTTGAATAACGAGAAATAACATAAACTTTGTCGGATCTCAAGTCCCTCTGTCGTTGCGATTGGATCCACCTGGACTCACGCACGCGTCCCCGAGTAGAATGTCGTCATGCGTTGGAGCAGCGAATGACCTCGAGTGACCATCTTTAACTATACAGCACCAACTCGTGGACGATTCATGTAGTAATGTGACGCACTGCGTGATGCGACCGGGACGCTTTGCAAGGCGGCGCAGCACTTGTTTGACCACGTCTAGGCTTTTACCCACTGGACGCATGCGTCGTTGATAGTTGCGGCACAGCCAAATCTCATATCCCGTCGTTTATAGATGAATTCTTAGTCGAAATCCTGGTTGAATGTATCCCGACAAAAACAACAACATTCGGTTTCTCTTCGACGATAGTAACCAATGCTTCAATCTGCATTGCCCGCAAGCGGCCTCCACGGGCGGTCGAGCTTGCTAATTGTTCTACGGGGAGTTATCCAGAAGCGTCGAGTCTACATGCTTCCATGCAATGTTCAGTCGTCCGAAAACTACTAGTATACGGAACTAGCAGGGTGTACGAGAGGTACGAATTCTTGGCCCAGTTGGTGGAAATACATCGACGGGCACCTGAGTACTATTGCTGGCCACGCGAAAAATGAACAGTGGATCCAACCCCCAACGCATCCTATCACAGCCCATCGACACTGAACATCCGTTGCGACAACCTCAACGCAATCTGAGACGGAGAACAAGTGTATACTGTGCTGCCAGCATTTGGAGCGGCGCGGCGACATCCCCACATTGCAGTGTCCGAGAACACGATCAAACAGCTGTATTGCTAGGTCGGTGGCTCTACCGCGGAAAGAGCAGTCGCGCCGCCGCTGCGAACTGAGTGTGTAGAGAACTTCTTGGGATCGAGGACACTGTAGTTGGCGGCATCCTTGATGTGCGCGCACATGCGGACGGCCGGAATACAGACACCCCGTTTGATGCAGCAGAGTGACTCGTTGGGCATGGCACCGATCTGTCTTGCTAGGTTGACCATAGTCCAAGCGGCAGCCACGGTGCAGATTCTCGCCACACCCGACTTAGTTAGTTAAAAGGAAGATTGGATTTGATGGTGGGAACGAAGTTGGGTCGAGCATTCCCACCGACTCAGATATGCAAGGCGAAAGAGTACAACTCGTGGCGAGTGTGATGCCACGTCGCGGAATGACATGTGGCCTCCTGAAATTGGCGCCACTCGCGGCGCCATACAGCGAAGCAACGAGTGATGGGGGAGTTGGCCAGGGACGAGAGCTGAAGTGACAACGGAAATTTTGCGTGGCGTAGGTGAAAGCACTCGTGCAATTTATGAGTGGCACAATCTTATCGTTACAACTGCGTCAAACTACGGTAGATGCAACAGGGTAGAGTTTCGGTCCGAATTTTTTTGATTACAAGATAACTACTAAAATACATCGAGCCATAACGCCGCGAAGGATTTCCAGTCCCCATAAACTCGGAGAACATCATAACCATTCGCAATGATGCATTTCATCAACTACATCAATCAGCAGCAAATGAACAGCACCACATGAACTGGCTAAATACTACGAAGTACTACCTCTGCTTGGGAATAAGTGCAGGCAGTAACAAAAAATGGTGATGTTGGCCTCGGATTGGCCTAAAAATGAGTGGTTTCTACTCGTGAGAACCTGACGATTCCAGTGGTATTTTTGGTTCAATTTTATATGCACGCATACGATCGCAGCAGCAATGTCAACTCGCAATACAAACTCCAAGATAAACCTTACCAATGACCTACGCATGCGCTATACCAAGAGCTTCTTAAAGTGAGCTCAAATGGGGTTCTTAAACGGCAGCAAATGGTGGATGTGTGCGTACAGTTTGGCGTGCACTCGTCCACAGGGTGGCGCATGTGGAAACAGGGCAACGACAGCATGGCCCATGGCAAACCGACGAACGTAGAGTCCCGCAAGCACCTCTCTGGGAACAAAGCAAGGTTACACCATGGCCGATATCGAGGAACGCATCAAACGTACCCCTTGCATCGACGGCAAACACAACTGTCTCTTGCATGAGCAACAGAGTTGTCTCAATGGAGGATTTGGTACTTCATACGGCAATAGTGGTTCGAACAAGTTGGTCGAAGCCGCGGCTAGCAATGGAGCACAAGGCGATGAGGAGAGCGTTTTGCAACATGCACCTGGATGCCAGCGGAAAACGTCAATACAATGACATGTTCAATGTTGTGCATGTTGACGAAAAATGGTTTTACCTCAAACGAAAGTGCGCCGCCGGTTTTACACTTGGCATGATGAGGCGGTTTCAACTCGATCGCTGCAGTCGAAGAGCCACAGAACCAAGATAATGCTCTTGGTGGCTGTAGCGCGGCCACGGTCCGGATTGGACGGCGAAGTTGGTTGTTGGCCCCTTGATGAAACGATCCCTGCCGAATGTACAAGCAAGAACCGTCCTGCTGGAACGCCTGTGCTCTCCACGGTGGCTGTGCCGAAGCCAGTGTACCGTGACCTCCTGTTGAATCAACTTCTGCCTGCTATCAAGCGTCAATGGGTTCGAGCAAATGGCGACGTGAATGGGACAATCTACGTACAGCAGGATAATGCGCGACCACACATCTCTGTCGACGACGCCGAGTTTGTCCAAGCGGCCGCTTATGGTGGTTGGAAGATTCAGCTCATGTGCCAGCCGCCACAGTCGCCAGATCTCAACGTCTTGGATCTTGGGTTCTTCAACTCTATCCAGGCCTTGCAGCAGCAGATGGAGTGCCGATCTATTGAAGAGCTTGTTTGTGCTGTCGATGAATCATTCAAGGCCCTACCGCATGCGACTCTGGAGAAGACGTTCCAGACATGGAAGCGTATTATGCGTGTGGTTGCCAGCATCAAGGGCGACAACAAGTACAAGATGCCAAGAAGTGTGTCGACCGAGGACGACGTTATTGCCTTGGAAATGATGAATCTGCGGCTCGAGGAGGAGGATCGCATGAATGAAATTGCCGACCTTGTGAGTATTTTGACAGTGTAATCTTTTTAAATACAGATTCTTCCGTCGTCGAAACACTCTATGTCGGCAACGCCGCGTTTTACTTAAAATTTGTACAGTACTGAATGTTCGCCTGCACTTATTCCCAATCAGAGGTAGTACATGTAATACATCTACAAAATGTAATCCCGAGATCGCGAATTTAATTTCTGAACAAGTTTACAGTGGCCGACGGAGTGGTGCGCCACAGTTGTCTTCGAAGAATTGAAGAAAACAGGAGTATGATTGGGCCTTCAGGGTTCACTTTCCAGCCAATCGTAACCAACCGAGGTATTTTTAATCTGTGCTAGAGTCCTGATTCAAATATTATTGCAGGTTATAAAATGAAAGAGTACTCTGCCATTGAAACATTGCCAGTACCTTACTCGTTTTTGCAAATCATAGACTTTCAAGAATTAAGAATTGACCGGTAGGATGAACACTTTACAAAGATATGCGTTTGACGCGGTGGCGCAACGGTTTAGTGCGACGGCATCAAAGTGAAAGAGGAAGGGGCCCGGGTTCAATTCCCCGGGCAGTGTCAAACTTTTTCCAAAATAATATATTCTTCAAAAAATGCATACATATCGAATTTTATTCCAAACCACTGGCTGCCTCTACTTCAGCATGCACATGATGGCGAGGTAAGGCGTTCTCGAAGCTGTGGCGAATGTCTTCAGCACTGACCCTGTCCCACGCCAGAATTGCTCGCTTCACCATTGCGAGT